TCAGAAACTGTCATAGTAAAAATTTAAACAGAGATGGTAGTATACCTCAGAGCTGTCTCTGTGACATGTCGTACCTTCTGAATATTCTAGCCCATGATTTATATTTTCCCTGTTAGGCTATCCCAACTTCTTAATATTGCTGCAGTAAACTTCGAGCAGACTGGTTTTGCACTTAACTCAAGGAATGCCTATTCAGTAACCTTCCATCAATAGCAATAACTGAGAGAAAATTAGTTGTCAAAAAGAATATAGTTCTAATAATATAGATATGTTGAGGCACTTAACAACATTAAGAATTTTAAATAGCTCATGATTGAGGAGAAGTGTAGGAATGGCATCGATACCATTTTTCCCTTAAGAAACATTTGGATGGTGGGAATGGGATCTTCGAATGAAAAACATGAAGCCAGTTGTTCATAAAATATGATAGGTTGTGATAGTTAACAGGTCCATGTGAAAGAACATTCAGATTTTTCTTACCAAAATGAAAAGCATTAAATCAAGGCACAGAAACATTACCTGTGCACCAAAGAGGTGAGTACAGGCACGTTAATGATGGATCTATCTGCTGCTCGTAACATTAATATCTCTGAAGCTTCAAGCAGCATGAATTACAGTGCCTCACATTTTATGATCATGTTTCTTATCTTTAGTGTAAGTGATGGAGTAATATCTTGAAAAACAAAATTTCTCCCTCACTTTTCCTTTCCCAAATTTTCAACAAAGTAGGTAACCAACCACCAGACCTCATATTAATTGTTAAATTAGAAACTGTTATACATAGTTACTACCTGTTTTAATTATGTCAACAAAATGCATCATCTACAAGAAAGTATGAGCATTCAATTTGAAATATGTATCCAGCATCCTTCATTGGATCTACGAGTTTAAGCAGCAACTCTTTTATTTCTTCTAACTGACTGTGGGACTTGTCTTTAGCGATAAACTTATGTCTGATATTGTTTATCTCAATCCAACTATAAGATGTTTCTTTCACCAATCCTCTGTCATAGATGTACCTTCGCAGAGTGCGGGCATCACCCCACATTCCTGCTGCTGCATAGATGTTGGATAACATAATATACCTGGCAGCATTATCAGGTTCCAGCTCAAATAGATTTTCTGCCACCCTTCTAGCAAGTTTCAAGTTCCCATGTACCCTGCAAGCACCCAAAAGTGCGCCCCACATTCCAATATTGTCTCTTCCCCAAGGAGCTCTCTTGATCAAATCCGCAGCTTCTCCAAGCATATTCTTCCGTCCAAGTAAATCAATCAAGATGGCATAGTGATCCAACTGGGGTACTATACCGTATTTCCTCTCCATTGAATGGAGATATTGAAATCCTTCAGGTAATAAACCACAGTGGCTACAGGCAGATAAAACCCCAAGAAAAGTTACATGATTTGGTGTTGTATCTGTTTCAATCATTTTCTCAAACCTGAACAAAGACATCACTCCATTCCCATTTTGAGCAAATCCATTTATTATCGAGTTCCAAGTAACTCGATCCTTCCCATCTAACCTCTCAAACAATCTCATAGCAGATATCATGTCTCCACATTTAGAATACATGTCAACCAAAGCATTAACTACAAAAACATTATGCAAATCAATTAAACATGTACATCTAAAAATGTGTCCATGAACTTGCTTACCTTTTTCAATAAGAGGTATGCCTGCACAAGAACTTAGGACACCAACGTAAGTGGATGCACGCGGTACAATACCTTCTTCCAGCATTTCCTTGAAAGTACACAAAGCCTTATCTCCTTCTCCATTTTGCGCAAACCCTGTGATCAGAGCAGTCCAAGCCACCACATTTCTGATCAGCATATGATCAAAAAGTGAGCACGCATCTGGAATTCTAGACGCACGTATATAAGCAACCAACAGCGAAGTCCACGAGAATACATCAGTCTCGCGCATTTGACAGAAAATAGAATAAGAGTACTCGGGTTTGCCACATTTCCCATAAGCATCAATAAATGCATTGCAAACCACAAGATTAAACCTCACACCAATCACAGTTGCTAACCCATGCAATCACGCAACAAGTTCAATGCACCCAAACCTGCACAAGTATTTACCACGCTAACAAGCGTGAACTCGTCAATCAAAAACCCACTCCCACACTGAGTTTGCATTCTTTTGAAAAACCCCATAGCTTTTCTAGGGAACCCGTGATGAGTTAAGCTTGAAATGATTGAGTTATAGCTCACAGCATTTGGATCAGGCACTACATCGAGCATCTGGAAAGTTTTCTCAAAAAGACCCTTTTGAGAGTAAGCTGACAACATTGTGTTCCAAGATTGGGCGTTCTTGTCTGACAGTTCATTAAAGGCCTGTTGCGCATACTCTATGGAACAGCATTTAGAGTACATGTATATCAGACGGTTGGCGAGGAATGTGTTAAAGGTTAATGTCGTCTTGATCGGACGGGAGTGTATGAGTCTCCCAAGCTTGAGATCATTAGTTCGGATGTAGTTTGAAAGGAGGCGCGCGAAGTGATGCACAGGCTCAGCAGATATTGCTTCACTTGGTTGCATGAGAGCAGATTATTTCTATAATTAACAAAAATATTCAGGATTAGCAAGGGAAGAATATGTCGCAGAATGCATGAAATAATCGTATATTTGAAATCTTATGGATTTTTACATGGTTGCGATTTGCGAATTTAAAATTTTCGTGGCAGATATTTTTGTCGACTTCTCATGATTTATTTAGTAATAGTTCCAAAATTGCGATAGGGAATTGTAGCTAATATAGAAAACATGTACATTTAATTCTTGTTGAAACAATATTAGGGAGTACTAATTTCTTTATTTGGAAAACAGCTTAAAATACCCCTATCGTATGCTAAATGGTTTATAAAAATCTCGTCCATCTATTCATCTGAAAATATATATGACGTTAATTCTATTGTCAAAATTACACATCGACTAATGGCAATTCATGTGGGCCTCTCATTAAATGATGTGGCATTCTTTCATTTGTCCACGTAGCTCAGTGGGGATGAAATTATGAGCCTGTTTGGATGGGCTTAAAAGCTGGTTTGACCAACTTTTAAGTCATTTTTTAGCTTATTGAGGTGTTTGGAAAACTTAAAATCAGCTTAAAGGTCAAATGCTTTTAAATCAAAAGGTCCAAATTAAGCCAAAAGTGATGAGTTGGGTATACCAAACTTTTTTTTTTCTAGCTTAAAAGTCACCCCTCTTTGACCAAGTATTTTACATTGCTATCCTTGATACTTATGTATAATTTCCAAAATACCAATCATTTCTTTTTCTCCTTTCCTCCGCCATTTTCAATCCCTGCCTTCCAAATTCCATAATCTTTTCTTTTTCTCCTTTCCTTTGCCATTTCCAATTTGTGCCTTCCAAATTCCATCACCACCGAACTATTTGTTTTGTTTTAGTTTCTTTTTTGGTTCCATAACATTTTTTTTAAAAGATTGTTGTTGAATCCCTCATTTTTTTAAATTGGTGAAACTATATTCTAAATCAAAATTTTCAATGAGTCTACATGTTAACAAAGAATTTGAAGCTATGAGACGAAAAAATATATTTTGGTGAAATAATAGATTATTGCATGTTATTTAAATAAATAATTTATATTTAGGCAATCAGTTTAAATTGAAAATGAACTAAATTATAATTTTTTTGTATATGTATTAATTTAGAATAAAATATTAATCATTTTCTTTATAGTGTTAACAACTTTAAGGATATTTCAGTCATTTTACTGAAACAAGTGCTTACCAGCACTTATTTACCAAACACTTCAATAACTTTTTTTAAGTATCAACACTTTTATCCAAACATTTAACTTCTTATTTATAAAACAAGCTCCAGCACTTAAAAAGTGCTTTTAAGCCCTTATACTTAAAAGCCACTTTTTTTAAGCCAATCCAAACGGGCTCATGGACCTGGAGAAGAATCCCCAGTGCTTGGAATGGCCCAATTTGACCCAGAAACGAGTGACCAGGCGATTTTGTGCTACAGTAATCCCAACACCATTTTATCTGTAGCAGCTGGGGAATTTTTTTGGGTAACGGTTTGCTGAGAATAGTGCTCAATCGGAAGGCGCATCTTTTGGTGGTGGTCCGGTGGCTTTTCACCGACGGACGGCGGAGTAGTGTGCATTAAAGCACGACTGTGTTACTGTTCACGGCAGTCGCACTGTACGGAGAGTTGACCCACATAAAAAAAGAGGGTCGGATCGGTTAAATGGGTCGAAATTTACCCACATATAGAGCCTGTTTGGATGGGCTTAAAAGCTGGTCAAACCAACTTTTAAGTCATTTTTTAGCTTATTGAGGTGTTTGGCAAACTTAAAATCAGCTTAAAGGTCAAATGCTTTTAAGTCAAAAGGTCCAAATTAAGCCAAAAGTGATACTTTTTTGTTTCTAGCTTAAAAGTCACCCCTCTTTAACCAAGTATTTTACACTACTATCCCTGATACTTATGTATAATTTCCAAAATACCCAATCATTTCTTTTTCTCCTTTCCTCCGCCATTTTCAATCCCTGCCTTCCAAATTCCATAATCTTTTCTTTTTCTCCTTTCCTTTGCCATTTCCAATTTGTGCCTTCCAAATTCCATCACCGTCGAACTATTTGTTTTGTTTTAGTTTTTTTTTGGTTCCATAACAATTTTTTTTTAAAAGATTGTTGTTGAACCCCTCATTTTTTTAAATTGGTGAAACTATATTCTAAATCAAAATTTTCAATGAGTCTACATGTAAACAAAGAATTTGAAGCTATGAGACGAAAAAATATATTTTGGTGAAATAATAGATTATTGCATGTTATTTAAATAAATAATTTATATTTAGGCAATCAGTTTAAATTGAAAATGAACTAAATTATAATTTTTTTGTATATGTATTAATTTAGAATAAAATATTAATCATTTTCTTTATAGTGTTAACAGCTTTAAGGATATTTCAGTCATTTTATAGAAATAAGTGCTTACCAAACACTTCAATAACTTTTTTTACGTTTCCACATTTTTATCCAAACATTTAACTGCTTATTTATAAAACAAGCTTCAGCACTTAAAAAGTGCTTTTAAGCCCTTATACTTAAAAGCCACTTTTTTAAGCCAATCCAAACGGGCTCATGGACCTGGAGAAGAATCCTCATTGCTTGGAATGGCTCAATTTGACCCAGAAACGAGTGACCAGGCGATTTTGTGCTACAGCAATCCCAACACCATTTTGCAAATCTGTAGCAGCTGGGGAATTTTTTTGGGAAATGGTTTGCTGAGGATAGTGCGCATTTGGAAGGCGCATCTTTTGGTGGTGGTCCGGTGGCTTCTCACCGACGGACGGCGGAGCAGTGTGCATTAAAGCACGACTGTGTTACTGTTCACGGCAATCGCACTGTACTGAGAGTTGACCCACATAAAAAGAGGGTCGGATCGGTTAAATGGGTCAAAATTTACCCAAATATAGAGCCTGTTTGGATGGGCTTAAAAGCTGGTTGAGGTGTTTGGCAAACTTAAAATTAGCTTAAAGGTCAAATGCTTTTAAGTCAAAAGGTCCAAATTAAGCCAAAAGTGATGAGTTGGGTAATCCCAACTTTTTTTTTCTAGCTTAAAAGTCACCCCTCTTTAACCAAGTATTTTACACAGCTATCCCTGATACTTATGTATAATTTCCAAAATACCCAATCATTTCTTTTTCTCCTTTCCTCCGCCATTTTCAATCCCTGCCTTCCAAATTCCATAATCTTTTCTTTTTCTCCTTTCCTTTGCCATTTCCAATTTGTGCCTTCCAAATTCCATCACCGCCGAACTATTTGTTTTGTTTTAGTTTCTTTTTTGGTTCCATAACCTTTTTTTTTAAAAGATTGTTGTTGAATCCCTCATTTTTTTAAATTGGTGAAACTATATTCTAAATCAAAATTTTCAATGAGTCTACATGTTAACAAAGAATTTGAAGCTATGAGACGAAAAAATATATTTTGGTGAAATAATAGATTATTGCATGTTATTTAAATAAATAATTTATATTTAGGCAATCAGTTTAAATTGAAAATGAACTAAATTATAATTTTTTTGTATATGTATTAATTTAGAATAAAATATTAATCATTTTCTTTATAGTGTTAACAACTTTAAGGATATTTCAGTCATTTTACAGAAACAAGTGCTTACCAGCACTTATTTACCAAACACTTCAATAACCTTTTTTAAGTATCAGCACTTTTATCCAAATATTTAACTACTTATTTATAAAACAAGCTCCAGCACTTAAAAAGTGCTTTTAAGCCCTTATACTTAAAAGCCACTTTTTTAAGCCAATCCAAACGAGCTCATGGACCTGGAGAAGAATCCCCAGTGCTTGGAATGGCTCAATTTGACCCAGAAACGAGTGACCAGGCGATTTTGTGCTACAGTAATTCCAACACCATTTTGCAAATCTGTAGTAGCTGGGGAATGTTTTTGGGAAATGGTTTGCTGAGGTTAGTGCGCAATTGGAAGGCGCATCTTTTGGTGGTGGTCCGGTGGCTTTTCACCGACGAATGGCGGAGCAGTGTGCATTAAAGCACGACTGTGTTACTGTTCACAGCAGTCGCACTGTACGGAGAGTTGACCCAAATAAAAAAGGGAGTCGGATCAGTTAAATGGGTCGAAATTTACCCAAATATTTCATCCCCACTGAGCTACGGGGACAAATGAAAGTGCCACATCATTTAATGAGAGGCCCACATGAAGTACCATTAGTCGGGGTGTAATTTTGACAATAGAATTAACGTAATATATATTTTCAGACGAATAGATGGACGGGATTTTTATAAACCATTTAGCATACGATAGAGGTACTTTAAGCCGTTTTCCAAATAAAGAAATTAGTACTCCCTAATATTGTTTCAACAAGAATTAAATGTACATGTTTTCTATATTAGCTACAATTCCCTATCGCAATTTTGGAACTATTACTAAATAAATCATGAGAAGTCGACAAAAATATCTGCCACGAAAATTTTAAATTCGCAAATCGCAACCATGTAAAAATCCATAAGATTTCAAATATACGATTATTTCATGCATTCTGCGACATATTCTTCCCTTGCTAATCCTGAATATTTTTGTTAATTATAGAAATAATCTGCTCTCATGCAACCAAGTGAAGCAATATCTGCTGAGCCTGTGCATCACTTCGCGCGCCTCCTTTCAAACTGCATCCGAACTAATGATCTCAAGCTTGGGAGACTCATACACTCCCGTCTGATCAAGACGGCATTAACCTTTAACACATTCCTCGCCAACCGTCTGATATACATGTACTCTAAATGTTGTTCCATAGAGTATGCGCAACAGGCCTTTAATGAACTGTCAGACAAGAACGCCCAATCTTGGAACACAATGTTGTCAGTTTACTCTCAAAAGGGTCTTTTTGAGAAAACCTTCCAGCTGCTCGATGTAATGCCTGATCCAAATGTTGCGAGCTATAACTCAATCATTTCAAGCTTAACTCATTACGGGTTCCCTAGAAAAGCTATGGGGTTTTTCAAAAGAATGCAAACTCAATGTGGGAATGGGTTTTTGATTGACGAGTTCACGGTTGTTGACGAGTTCACGGTTGTTATCGTGTACAGTACCCCGTGAACAGTACCATGTACAATACCCCGTGAACAGTACCCCATGAACAGTACCCGTGAACAGTGTGAACAGTGTGAACAGTACCGGACAGAATGTTAAGTTCTAAAAAATGGGACGAATCCCATTTTCCATTTTTACCAAATTGGAGCTCGAGGAGAGGCGATTTTCAGGAGATTTTTAGAGAAAACAACGGGGTAAGTTTTCTTAACTTAATTTTGGTTAGATTACTCGAATCTATTACTAGTTTTGGCATTTAATTGTTGATTTTAGTTGGGAAAAAATCTTGAAAACCCTCTTGGTTTAATTTAAAGATTTGAGAGTCGAGTTGATGTCGGATTTAAGTAAAATTGGTATGGTTGGACTCATGGTTGGATGAGGTTTCATATTCCATAATTTTTGTCTGGTTCCGAGATGTGGGCCCCACGGGCAAATTTTGAGTGCAATTTCGGATTTTTAATGGAAAATGTAGAATTTCATATGGAATTAATTCCTATAATTTTTATTAACTGAATCGAATTATTGTGACTAGATTCGGAGGCATTCGGAGGTCGATTTGAGAGATAAAGGCATCACGAGCTAGAGGATTAGCCGGTTCGAGGTAAGTAATGATTGTAAATATTGTCATGAGGGTTTGAAACCCCGGATTATACGTTGTTGTGTTACTTTGAGGTGACTTGCACGCTGGATTACGAGAGTGGGGTAGAGCACCGCTAGGGATTGTGACCTAGTCCATCCCAAACAAATATTTTAATGCATATTTGATAGTTAATTGTTTGACATTATTATATTTTTGGGATATATGTCATGTTTGGGGCCTTGTGCCGACTTGTTGAGACCCTTAGGGGCATTTTTACTATCTTTCCTCACTCTATTTGTTTGAAAGCATATTCTCAGTCATGTTTTACCTGTTTATTGCTCAAATCTGGCTTTATCACTATATTCTTAACATGTGGAAATTGTTTTGGCATGAGTTCCTTGTTTTACTGAGATAGACCGAGGGACTGATTGTGAGATTGATGACTGAAATAGACTGAGAATCTGATGGTGAGGTTAATGACTGAGAGAGGCCGAGAGCCTAGTTGCGAGGATTATATATCTATGGATCGGGCTGCACGCCGCAGCGATATTTATATGGATCGGGCTACACGCCGCAACGATACTTATATGGATCGGGCTGCGCACCGCAACAATATAGCGCTTGGGCTGTAGGAGCCCCTCCGGAGTCTACACACCCCCAGTGAGCACATTCGACTATTTATATGGATGGGGTTGTGCGCCACAACGATGCATGGATCGGGCTGCACGCCGCATCGGTTACTATATGGTACCAATTGAGCGTGAATGCTGAGTGCGAGTACTGATTGGTAAGAGTTGAGTCACGAGTGACAGAGAGGCTATCCCGAGGGGCGATAGATATATACATACATATGAGTGGTCACTACTAGAAATTGGAGTTATGGCAACCCTTCGAAAACAGTTGCAACAAATAAGCTAACCGCCCTTATAGGGCTAATGGGACGAATTTGGACGCGTTCCGGGATTCCGTGTTACAATAGGTCTATTGGAACGGTTATTTGCAACAGTTTACAAACCGTCTCCATAGATAGGGTATTGGAATGGTTTGTACTGCTACCACTATTCTATCTACAGGAACGGTTTCCTTTTCATTTGGGACGGTTATAAACCGTCCTGGTAAAATAATACAGCTGATTTTTTTTAAGTCTATTGCAACGATTTTCATGATATATTGCAACGGTTTGTGTGATATATTGAAACAATTATCAGTACCCCTATTGCAACAGATATTATAACATATTGGAACAGATATCAAGGGCTGCTCTTATTATTTGCTAGGTCTATTGGAATGGTTATATTCTCTATTGCAACAAATTGTAATTTCTGATATTTATGGAAGCAAAATGAGAAATAGTTTCCTATTCTATGAAATTGTTTACACCATATCCAACTAGCATTATCCATATACAAAAACAAAATATGGATACATTGTTTGGTCAAACAATTCAAAAGTCAAAATAGATGAGTTTGTATACAAAATAGATGAGTTTGTATACAAAAAGTTCCAGGCCCCATGATAGATGCAAATGCATCTACGGACTCACTAAGCACTAGTTTCTTCCATTTCATTTTGAGCGTGACAAAATCAATAGTCAATGAGGGGAGCAGTGCCATCAGAGAACGTAGCATCCAACTGAAACCACAGATTTTGGATCTGGCTTTTAAAAGGAATTGCTTGGACTTTGGATTTAAGGACTTACTGGAGAAAAGGAATCAATCTGCTTTTTCTGCATCATTAGGTTTCATACTGCACCATTTGGAAACTAGGGAGAGCCGGTTTCATTACATTTAGTTGTATTAAATGGTTTACTATGATGCTTTAATTTTATAAAGTTTCAACAAAAAAGATATAAGCATACTTGTAGGTTTTTCACCTTTCTGATATGTACATTTTTCTGATATGTACACCAGCTTTTGGGATTAGTAAGCTCAAGGCCCTGTGGTTGTGCATTTAGGAAGCTTTTTCAACTGAGAAATTGTGCCTTTTGCACCCTAGTTCATCTTGCAGCCCTTTACTAGTTAGTAATGAATAGTGTCTTTTGCACCCCAGTTCACCCCCAGAAAATAATAACTTAATAGATACATATCATCAGCGGGATATATTTAGAAAACTGCTCCTAACCATGAATTCCGAAGTTGAACCTCCTAACATGTATTCCGAAGTTGAACCTCCTTATGATATTCAGAGGAAGGGCAATATACCATTCTGTTAAAACTGGGCGGCATAAAAATAATGAAAGAAGAACTAGGCAGCATTTTAGCGAAGAGGAGAAGACTTAGAAAGAAGAATCGAAGGTAAAAAAAAATTCGCCAGTATTTCACTGCTATTTGGATGCTGAAGAAGAATAAGAAGAAGAAGGAGGAGGAGGAAGAAATCATCACATACCTGTTGCCACTGAATCTCTGTTGAAGTTGAAAAGGGAACGCTAGTCGCTGTTGCTGCTGGTCGTGTTTTAATAAAAGTGCAATGATCCCTTCTTTTTTAATTAAATAGGCTGGCAGCTTCACTCGCTTCGCTGCTACACCAACAGATTCAACGCCCTCTATAGTCTTTCTTTGTGTAGCTAATTTGCGAGTAGCACCCTGAGAAAAAATAAGAAGGCAAAGGTTTGATGATGTCCAAGAGAGGAAAGACATAAATGTACCAATAGCTAGTATTCTCGTGTAATCTTCAGATATTTTCTGAATAAAATAAAAAAAAATAGATTTTTCCACCAACTCTATGTCTGTTCTTCTAGCTATTTGTGATCTTTCCATATCCTTTATACATTCTGATATCAGTTAGCTTGGTATAACTATCTTCTTAAGGTTGATTACTCTTTTCTACAATATTCAAACCTTACTATTTCTATTTTAAGACA